GCATCAAATTGACGGTTTTGAAGACCGTAATCGTACCGCCGCTAGAGTACGCCGGAGAAGTATGAGAAGAAAGTAAGAAGGTAGTGAAAGAACTCGAGGCGGCACCGATGAAAGGAGCGAAAACCATCCTAGGATGCTCCAGGCGCACAAGTAATGCAGCCGTGAGGGCAGAATTGGGGATCCAATCCCTACGGTCGGGAAGAGACGCGAGGAAGCTGACCTGGCAGTATCGCATGTGCGGGATGGGAGAGGAGAGGTTGCCGAGAATTGTATGGGAGGCGAAGTGGGCAAACAAAAAGAGGGGTAGACAACCCACGGAATGGGTCAAGGTTGTAGAGGACGTATGGAAGGGGATCGACATCGACACNCGAGTTCAAATGTGATTGCGGCTTCGAATGCGAAGACCGTGTTCATGAGTCGCGGAGTGTCCCGTTGTACAAGAAGGAGAGGGAAGTGTACGTGACTGAGCTGGGAAAAATAGATGGAACGTACAGGGAGATGTTTGAGGCATGGAATAGAGAGGAAAGGACGGTAGCTGTACTGGGGCATAGGAGGTGGGTTGAAAAGGCGGGAAGGGATATCGTTAGGATAGACAGACTAGGGAAGACATTTTTGAGCCACCTTTGGCAAAGTAGAAAGGAACGATTGGCCATCGGTGATCGGTCCTGTGGGAACAATGCTCCGTCCTCTCGAGGACGCGTGGTCAATGGTCTAACCGCTAAGGCATGCAAAAGAAAAAACATAAGAGTACGCCCCCCCCCCAGGCTATACTTCCGTTTCACAATCCTCGAGAAAGGGCAACTTTCGTGAACATGGAGAACATCCAACCGTACCTGGAAGGTGTTTGGTTGTGTTGTGGGTCGGCCTTCCACGGTCCTACGGTCGATGATGTTCGGCGCTCGCAGAGGCGAAATTTATCGTTTCTCTCAGGAGTTTGGTGTGTGATGGGCGCGCGGGGGGGGTGGGGGGTTGTTTTGGGCCTGGGTCGAGTTGTTGAGACCCGTCGATTGCAACTTTTGGGTCCTGGTTTGAGGCGAGAAACGGGAGGGCTTGTCCGGGGTTTGTTTTGGTTGAAGGCTTGGGGTTCGGGGGGTTGACACCGTCGCTCTATGACTTAGATTTGAGAGCGATGGCAGGGTTTAGGTATGGGTGAGGACCGAGCAAGGTGTGAAGGATAGGCAGGAGTATTCGCCCGCCTTGTGGGGAGAAAGGGCATCTAAAGGAGTTCGTCCTTTACTTTCGTTCTGTGCGTTTCGGCTGCCATCTGTCTCTTGTTTTTTTGCTCTCATCATGTGCCCTTCCTTGTGGTTCGTCCTCGCCCACCACGTGTTTATATATAGGTGGAGCAGTTTTTGGTGCTGGCGACCGGGATCCCCGATTACGAGATCCGCCTGCGCTGCGCGGGATACATACAAGCCTTCGAGCCGGAAAGGGCATCCGCGCTGGAAAAGATCACCATCGTCAGCGACGCCATTTCCCAGGTGTGTTGTTATTTTATCTTGAACTGCTGTATGTATCGGCAACCGGACTGGTGACTGGGAGTGTGAAGTGTGTACAACTTGAGCGTTTTGTGTCTCTGCTGATGGCAGTCCCCGTTACCGAGCTGAAAATGCCGCTCATTGCTGCAAAAACACCTAGTAGTCACGCTTTCCTCGTTGACCGATGTGTGTGCACCACCAGCACCACCCCTACTAGCAACTCAGAGAGGCAACGTCACACCCGACCAAAACAGGCTGAGGTTGAGGGCGGACGGGTCCCTGAGTACCAAGGTTGGTTGTGTTACTTCTCTCATGCGTTCTGACCCCGTAAGTGTGAGACTAGTACGGATAGATGCAGGTAATGGGCAAAGAGAACGGAACGGTTTTTAATGTGAAGACAACAACAACAACAACAACAACAACATTTCCGCTGCTTCTGCTCCTGTTGGTGTTGGTGTTGCAGGTGACGAACTCGGCCAAGCTGAAGCGGCTCCTAGCCGTGGTCCTGGCGGTGGGGAACTTCTTGAACGAGGGCTCCAGCAACGGGGACGCCAAGGCGATCACTCTAGAGTCGCTCCTCAAGATCACCACAGTCAGGTCGGTTCGGGAACCTGTTCTATTGCTGTAGCTCGCTCTTGTAGTCGGTGCTGGAGCTTTTGCTATGCCCGATGGAGAGTCGCTCCTCAAGATCACCACGGTCAGGTCGGTTCGGGAACCTGTTGTATGCTGCTGAAGCTCGCTCTTGTAGGCGTTGCTGGAGCTTTTGCTATGCCTGATGGTAGTGGTGCTGTCGCTATCCCTGCTGCTGATACCGTAAGAGAGAGCTATAGTCGGGAACGAACACGTTATTATCGTTTTTTCCGTACCGCCCCCCCCGCCCCCCCCCGCCGGACCCCATTCCCCCATCTCTGGCGGAGACATCGGGAGGCAGCCAAATTACGCTCTCTTTTAAACCTACGAAAGACGGAAAGAAAACGGAATGGAAGAAAAAACATACACACACACAGAAGCACTTTCTGCTTTCAGCCGCACTGAGACTGACTGACGTCTTTTGATTGATCAGCCAGCCGGTTAGCGCGGTCGATGCTATTATTTTAAAAACCACACGCAAAAACAGACTCAATTATTTAACACAAACAAACGTACAAAAACAGGCTCAATTGCACGTACATTGTAGATAAAATATAAGTACATCCGTTGTGTGTTTGTAGGGAGAAAAAATATAAAGTATAAATATTGGTTGCGGTACATGTTGCGAAACGAGCGAGCAGGCGCACGACGAAGAGACCTTTCGCCGGGGGGGGAGACGACAACCTGGCGCACAGCATCATGGAGTGGGCCGCGAAGTCGGAGCCCTCCCTTCTGTCGCTAGGGGAAGACCTGCCCTTGGCTGCGAAGGCGTCTAGGCTGTCCTTGGACGACCTCAAGACGAATGTGAGTGGTACTGCTGTAGCTCGCCTAAGCTTGGAGGCAAGAGGTAGGTGCGGTGGTGAAGACGATCCCCTATTTTCACGTTGGCGTCAACGGTTTCCCCTTGGAGAGTCCTCCGTTGTCTCTCAACCAAGAAGACTCGGAAGGGTGGGCGGTACGAATGTGGAGTCCCCCTTCATACTGGGTACGACCTCCCCAGCGTTTGTTTGTCAAGGACGATTGTTCCCGTGTTTTGGCATTGCTGTTTATATTTGTTATGATTTGTGCCGACCTCGTATGCATCTCTGGACCAGGTAACCACAACACATGGATGCGCGAGTCAGAGAAGCTGGAATACGCTCACACCTCTTGTGTAGGTATGCGTATGTACATGTGTCTTGTAGTTTGATTTTTTGTTTTTCCCCGTGGTTCGTGCGTACCTCTAAATCTCGGGAAGGTTCTCGCCGTCGCAAAGAAGCTGGGCGTGTTGGAGGCCACGCTGGAGGAGGCTAAGAAAAATACTCAAGGGCGGAAGGACGGGGATAAATTCGTCGAGATCGTCGAGCCGTTTCTCGCTCGCTCCAAGGTGGGAAGTTGTTGTTGTTGTTTCTCACGTTAGCTCTATAGTCCACAAAAAATGGGGAGGGCGTGGTCTCAAAACCCGGCACATACGCGACGCTGCGGGGAAACAAAAACAAAAAAGGGTACAAACCACTCCGAAGAAGAAATCATGATAGAAAGAAAAGAACAGCTACCGCACCGACCGGTCGAGAAGAGAGTCCTCTGAAACCGATCAAATCATATCAAAAACAAAATTATAGGAGGACGCTTCCCACACCCGCCTGAAAATTTAAACGGTAACGTACCAGCACCAGGCACTTCGCACCAAGGCATGGGAGTAACGGAGGTAACCTAACAAATAGGCGGCAGATGGGCAGACAGACAGATGTATAAAAACATCAGCAATAGCAAAAGGGAAATCAAGGTACCCAACACGTCAGAGTAGGCAGGGAGGACATGAAAACAAGAAACAAAGAAACACAGCACAGAGGCCGAAGGCAATACAAATTACATACGTAAGGGAGTATATCGTACAGCAGGGAGGGAAACAGGGCGCAACAACATCAGCCGGGTACATGGTTCGCCACAAGTGCTGCCTCGGCCGCCGTACTCGCTTCTAAAGCAGTGCCCGGTCGCCGTGTCTTCCCCCCACCGCCGCTTCCCCGACTCCCTTTCTCTTCGGTCCCGAGATGGCCGTACCCTCTGCTTCTGCTTCCCTCGCGCGCTGGCGCTTCGCGGAGGCTTCCGCCTCCTGCCTGTGCCATTTCCTCATGAACCATGCCGCCCCGTCCTCGACCTTGTTGTACCACACCTCCGGGTCCTTGGCGCTCTCTTTCCATTTCCCTCCTTCCTTTTCGTCTCCCATGTTGAAGGCCACGAGGTCCTCTCCTAGACGAGACACCCAGTCGCTCTCCTGCCCGCCCCGGTATCCCACGCCCCCCGCCGTCGCTCCTAACAGCATGCGCTTGGGGAGGCGGTTGTCCTCCATGCGCATAACAAAGCCCGCGAAACACAGTCTTCGTTTGCGCACGGTGGCCTCGATGGTTTCCTCGCAGCCGGCCTGGATGAGGACCTGGGCATAGGACAGGGGGCGATCTGGGCGTTTTCGCTTGCTCCAGCCGATGCACCGTGGAAGGAACTGGCGGTGGGTCCCATTGAGCTTCGTGTAATGCTCCGCTGTTAGGCTGCACGAGGCGCACCCGTATAGGAGAGTCTCCACCACTTCAGCCTGGAGAAGCCGGATCTTGAGCTGGCGGTCGGCCCATCGCCTGTCGTACATCGAAGCACTGTTCCGGCGGTAGCACTTCCACGCTCGGCAGCTGCGGCTCGTGATCTCCCGGTCGGCCTTCCCGTCCGCGGAGATGGTACGTCCGAGGTACACAAACCGATCTGTCTGCTTGTACGTCTGGCCGGCGGCGCTGACCGTGATCGGGCGTCCCTCGATCCCTTTGGGCAGCATGCACATGATCTCCGTCTTTGGCTCCGACACCATCAGTCCGAACAGGCCGGCCACGCGCACGATGACCGACATCATCTTCTCGAGACTCTCCGGCGAGCGCGAGACGATGGCCGCGTCGTCAGCGTAGAGCATGGCCCACAGGGCCTCCACGCCCGTCACCGCCGTCGTCTTCCTCCCCGCCGACCTGCCCTTCTTGCCCGTGTACTCCACTTGTGTCCCGATCTTGACCATGTCCGCCGTCACCTTGGGGTCCTTGTCGAACTCGGCCACGGCGACCATGAGCATCGCGGCAAAGAACAAGTTGAACAGCAGCGGGGCCAGGTTGCATCCCTGTCGGAGGCCTTGGCCCACGTCGGACCATTCCGAGTACTGCCCGTCGTCCGTTGGGACGCGCGCGCTCA